GCATGAGGCCCTGGGTTCGATTCCTCAGCACCACATAAGCAAAAAGAAAAAAGCTGGGAGTGGCACTGTGGCTCAAGTGGTAGAGCGCTAGCCTTGAGCTGAAGAGCTGAGGGACAGCGCCCAGGCCCAGAGTTCAGGCCCCATGACCGGATCCCCTCCCCCCCAAAAAGATGGAAGGTACTCAACAAATCCATGAAAAAAAAATAAGAGAGTTGACTATCAAAACCACTGAAGCCAGGCACCTGTAATCCTAGCTACAAAGGAGGCTGACATCTGATTACAGTTTGAGGTCTGAAGCCATCCCAGTCAGGAAAGTCCAAGAGACTCTCCCTCATTAACCACCCAAAGGCTGGAAGTAGAGCTGTGACTCAAGTGGTAGAGAGCTTGAGCACCTTGAGCACAAAAGCTCAGGGACAATGACCAAGCCCCGAGTTCAAGGAGTCAGCACCAAAAAAAAAAAAAAGAACCAAAAAACCCAAACCTCACAAACCTTACATTAATACTATATCTAAACTGTCTGAATGGCTATCATGGGAGGGGGGTGGGACACAAAATCCAAATACTGATGAGGATATTGAGGATCTTCTACACTAGTAAGAATGTTAATTAATAGAGCCACTATGGAGAAACCATAAAAAATTAAAATTAGTACTACCACATAATCCAGCTCTATCACTTCTGGATATATACCTTCAAGATTCAAATCAGCTTACTACACAGATACCTGAACACCAATGTTTATCACAGCAATATTCCCAATAGACAGCCCAAGCGCCCATCAACAAATAAAAAACACATAAAAAAGTGGTATATATCACATAGATGAGTTTTATTCAGTCACTAAGAAGGCTGAAGTTATATCTACAAGAAAATGGATAGACCGGAGACCATTATGTTAAGCCAAGAAACTACATCTTACCAAGAGAAGTACTTCATATTTTTTGTCACGTAAGGAACTCAGGGCAAAAGGGTTATCAGAATGATATGACTATAGGGATGTGGAAGAGGAAAAGACAGAGAGGTGGTAGCATAAGAAAGGTAATAAAGGGGTTTGGATACTAGATCTATTCAGAAAGCATCATCATGAAACCCATTATTTGTATCCTGTACAAGCAATATACATTATTAAACAAAGTTCAGTCCACCTCCTGTAGTCTGAGCAAACCACTCCCTCTTTGTATACTTCACTATAGTCATCTATAAACAAAGTCAGTAATGTTGACTAATATCTATCTAGTGCTTTACACAATGAACTGTTCTGAGCCCTATATATGCACCCTTTCCCTTGACCCAGCAACTCTACTATAAGGTGAAAACTTAGTATCTCCAAGTAATAAAGGAGAAAGCAATCTAAGAGAGTAAGAGATTCTGTTTCAAGTCACAGAGAGTAGAAGAGTCAGTGATTAAATTCAGTCTTAATCCAGATCCTCACGTATGAATCTACCAGTGGTCCTGGGAGCAATTGCTAAGTGATCTTTTCAAGAGCTGTTAATTCCAAGCCATCTAACATCTTCAAGTGCCTACTCTATCAAAGAGTCCTCTGTTCAAAGCAAGACAGGAGGAAGTACAGCAAAATACTTTGGAGAAATCTGTATTTTCTTTCTTTTTCGGTTGGTCATGGGGCTTGAACTCAGTGCCTGGATACTGTACCTAAGCTTTTGCACTCAAGGATAGAGCTTTTGAGCCACAGTGCCACTTCTGGTTTTCAGGTGGTTAACTGAAGAGTCCCCAGGCTGGCTTCAAACTGCAATCCTCAGATCTCAGCCTTCTTCCTGAGTATCTAGGATTACTGGAGTAAGGCACTGGTGCCTGGCTGAAATCAGTATTTTCAAAGTAAGAACAACCAGATAAGCACCAATATAAATAAGATGGGAAGATGGCTCAGTGGTAGAGTGCTTGCTTTGCATGCATGAGGCCCTAGGTCCAATTCCCTAGGACCATATAAGCAGAAAAAGCCGGAAGTGACACTATGGCTCAAGTGGTAAAATGCTAGCCTTGAGGTGAAGAGCTGGGGGACAGCACCCAGGCCCGGAGTTCAGGCCCCACAACCAACAACAAGAAAGAAATATACAACTTGTGGGTGGGGATAGGAGAGAAAAACTGGGAGAGAGAAAGGGAAGGGGTGACAGTGTCTAAAAAGAAATGTATTCTTTACCCTAACTTCTTCTCTATATCACCTTTATTATATATATATGTGGCAATTAGATGCCCTGCCGTGTAATATCGTAAGAGATCATGTAAAGTGATCAGAACTCAATTCTGACTTGGGACACAATATGATCATAGGATGTTCCTTGCCCAAAGCATCCCATGAGTGTTGCCATTCTTGTCCCCTGCAGATTGAAATGCTTTCCTAGTCACCAGCCTTCTAAGTTCAAGAAGTTAAGTCCAAAATTGTCTTCATGTATCTTACAATGAAAATGGTACCTGACACATTGATTTCTTGTTTCCTATGTTAGCTGCTCTACTTTTGGTTTTAATGATGGTGTGGCCATATAAACAATGATAGAAATAATTCCGTCTACTTGCTGCAGGCTACTGGGAAACTGAAATCTCTATGTATCTGAGCCTGAAGGTGACAGTGGGAAATGTTCTTGTTTTAGTTTGACACTGCTGTGCATAGAGCCTAAGGCCTCCCACAGGCTGGGAAAATATTCTACTAGTGAGCTAGTGTGTCAGCAAACAAATATTCTGTTAACAACTATTACTTAGCTAAAATCTTACAAGGTAGGGGCAGATGGAAAGATGTTAATGTACTATTGCCTTTGCAGAACTCCAGACTAGGAACCTCTTAGAAGTGGAGTCCAGAAAGCAACCCAGTTACTAGTTTATAGTGTAATGTTCTATCTGCCTCCTAGCTCATCTTTCTTAAACTGCCCCATTCTTGTTCAGTTGAAGACCTACTAAGATGGGTATGCCTTTCCACATCGATTTATCCTGCATATGTATTCCAGAATATTCTTTTTTTTTTTGGGGGGGGGGTCTGGTCGTGGGGCCTGAACTCTGGGCCTGGGCGCTATCCCTCAGCTCTTCAGCTCAAGGCTAGTGCTCTACCACTTGAGCCACAGCTCTACTTCCGGCTTTTTTCTTTCTGCTTATGTGGTGCTGAGGAATCGAACCCAGGGCCTCAGGCATGCAAGGCAAGCACTCTACCACTGAGCCACCTTCCCAGCCCAGAATATTCTTATACATGGATTTATATCTTCCTCCATAAAAACTGTGCATGGCTCTTTCTTCTTCACCTGCTGAATAAAACCCTACCTCATCTTTTTGTGTCCTATGCCAATCCCAAACCACAGTAAGTGAAAGTGTCAACATCTTCCACATGAATCTTGAACATTTCCTGACCTTGGAAAATGGTCCTTGCTCCTGCTTAAAGCTCTTGCTTTTTTCTCTTCTTCAACTTTTGACATAGTGTACACTGAATAGAACGACTGCATCTGCTCCCCATCCCTCGCTCTATTCCTGTGCCCCCCTTCCACTGCCCTCCCCCACTGAACATGGTTAAGAAACTCTGGCTTCTTAACTCAAAGTCTTCTATGAATATCTTACAATTACCATTTATGCCAGGAAGTGATATCACTCTCAGTTTTATGCCAATATATTGTTTCCATGCGCTGTACTGTGCTTCAGCTATGTTAAATGTAGCAGAATCATATTTAAACTTTGTATTCACACCTTGTTCCCTTACAGTGCTCAAACAGTTCCAGGGTAGGCCTTCAACAATATATAGTTGTGCTAGTACCAGTGGCTCATCCTGTAATCCTAGCTACCCTGAAAATGGAAATCCAAAGGATCATGATTCTTGGCCAGCCTGGACAAGAAGCCCATCTAATCCAATAGCTTGGTATGGGAATAGATGCCTATTATCCTAGCTATTTGAGAAGCTGAGATTGAGAGGATCATGGTTCTCAGCTCAGGCAAAAAGGTGAGACAATAAAAAAATAAGCAGGTGTGGCTCAGTGATGAAGTACTACCAGTGGGCAGAAGTCCACTCAGGGTGCAAGATCCAGTTCCAGTGCAGGTACCACTACAATATGACCAGAGCAAGCTGGGCATAATGGCTTAAACCTTTAATTCTATCTTTGGGAGGAATAAATTGGTCAAGATTTGAGGCCAGCAAGGGCATAAAACATCAAAAGACTCCATCTCACTCAATGTCTAGGTGTAGTGGTATGTGTTTGTCATTCCAGCTTGACATCTGGCCTGTAAGGCCAGACACATGGAAAGACAGAAGGAGGACTGAAGCTCAGGCCAGCCTGGGCATAAATCGAGTCCTTACCTTGAAAATAACCAACATTAAAAGGTGCTAGAGGCATGGCTTAAACAGCAGAGTGATCGCCTTACAAGGACCAGTACTGTCAAAACAAACAAACTACAGCCCAAAGGGCTGCATGGCTCCAGTGGTATAGCCAAAGCTCTGGGGTCAAACCCCAATACTACCAGCAAAAAAAAAAAAAAAAAAAAAGAAAAGAAAAGAAAGAAAACAAAAAGAAAGCGTGTGTGTGTTTGTGTGTTTTGTATGGAGCTACAGAAGTAGCTACAGGAGTAGAATGTCTGCCTACCAAGCAGAAGTCCCTGAGTTTAATCCCCAGCACAGCCTAACAAAAGTGTTGTGGCTACAGATGAACAGATTTTTCTATAAATACTGACTTGTAGTTAACAGAATGGTTCACAGAAGGTCATGTATATATGTCTTCTATAGAGACAAAGGAGTAAAATTTATATGTATCCAGTTTTCCTAAAAGTTTTCATCTTTGAATAATACTTTAAATACTTTCATATACATAAACCATGTTTATTTTGAAAACTATTAATAATTTAAAGAGCATGCTCATAGTTGCTTAATTATTTGTCTATGTATTCACTTCTTCAGCAGTACTAGTATCTGCATTCAGGCCTTGCTAAGCAAGCACTCTACCACTTAAGCTATGGCTTTAGCCCATGGGGCATACTTTCCAAAGGACAAAAACTGCCGAGGAGAGATTTTAAACTATTACTCCAAATTCAGTGAAATGTTTAATCAAATATAACACATCTCTTAAAAATAGTATAGACAGTTTATAAGATGAAGTAAAAACCAACATTAGTGAATAGAGATAATATAAAAAGGGAGAGAATTTATTTACTAATGTAGTGATTAAAAGTATTTCAGTAGAGAAGCAATCTGAAACAGAAAACAAGCCCAGATAGAAAGGTTGATAAAAACCCTAAATATCATTTGTAGACCACAAGCCTCTCAAAAAAACAAAAACCCCAAAACAATAAACAAATTCCCTCCCCCGCAAAAAAGCCCAAAAAGAAACCACCAGCACACATTCAAAATTCCAATTAACAACAGTCCTTGATTAACTGGGTAGCTCAGAAGTGCAGATACACACTAAGCACAGCTTAACAGTAGCTTCCCAAATACTCACTAAATCCTGATTTACATTCAGAGTGCTAGCCAGACATTGCTACTTTGGCACAGAGGGCTCCCTCTCCTAGCCTCTCAACATCTTTGTTCTATGATGAGGAAAAGCCTCAGGGAAGTACCCAGTCCCCTGAGGGAGAAATCAAGGGAGCTGGTAAAATGCAGACCAATTGAGACCATGGGGATCCAAGGCAAGACTTTGATAATAGATGTTCACTGATTGTCTTTCTGGCATTAGGGGTTCTGTGTTTGTGAGAGAGACATGACTTGTCAGGGAAGCTCTTCTGTTTCTGAACACTCTATTACAGCCCAAGAGCCAACACAAAGCTCAGGTCGCACCTCGGAAAAGCTCAACCCTTCATATTCCATGATCCCACTCGGAAGTGAACAGTCCATGTGGGAGCACTCAATGGTGGTGGCAGCTGCACAGTGAACACCATGCCAGGGCACCCCATGTGTGCTACTCCTGAAGCAGGCTTCGAGAGACCAGCATCTTCATCACTTCGTTGCTACCTGAAAGAGGGAGAAAGCAGGAAGGATCTAGATCTAGAAGGAGCAGATAGTCATGGATTTAAACTACAATGGTTGCTCTTATCCTTTTTCTCTATGGTACAAGGTGGGTGGGGAGGAGACAAGAAATGAGAAATAATTGTTTTTTTAAAATCTCATGATTAAAAAAATGCTTGCATTAGATTTAGAAAAGCGGGGTGGGGGTGGGGTAGCGGGGAAGAGCACTGGTATCTCATTCCTATAATCCAAACTACTCAGAAGGCTGAGATCACGGGATCCTGGGTCAAAGTCAGCCTCAGCAGACAAATCTGAGACATTTATCTCCAATTAACCACCAAAAACTAGGAAATGGTAGAGCACCAACCTTGAGTAAAAAGGCTAAGAAAGATCATGAGGCCCTGAGTTCAAGCCCCAGAACTAGCATACAAATACAAAAAAAAGGTAGAATATAACTCTACTTTAAAAAACAAAAAGTACTTCCAGAAATAGAAAAACAAAACAAACAACAACAAAAAAAAAGCGCCAGGCATTGGTGGCTCACACCTGTAATCCTAGTTGTTCAGGAGGCTGAGATCTGAGGATCATGGTTCAAAGCCAGCCCAGGCAGCAAAGTCTGTGAGACTCTTATCTCCAATAAACCACCAGAAAACTGGAATTGGCACCGTAGCTCAAGTGGTAGAGCGCTAGCCTTGAGCTGCAGAGCTAAGGGACAGCACCCAGGCCCAGAGTTCAAGCCTCATAACTACTACCACCACCAAAAAATAAAAAAATAATAAAAATTAATAATTCTGGATGAAGGAAAAGGAATACTTTTACTTTCCGTGTGTGTGTGTGTGTGTGTGTGTGTGTGTGTTTTATATATATATATATATATATATATGTATTTTGGTGTTATGGGGTTTGAACTCAGAGCAAGGGTTCTCCCACCAAGCCACCTCCAGCCCATCTATCTACACACTGAGTATTTTAGATAGGCTTTCCCTCTTTGCCTGAGCACAGGCCTGTGCTATAATTCTATTTTAAGTTTCCTGCCATAGCTGGGATGACAGATGTACATCACCGTGCCCAGCTTCTTTGGTTAAGATAGGATAGAGTCTTGAGAACTATTGTAAAATCCTCACAATCTCAGACTTCCAAGGTCATAGGATGACAGGTGTGTACCATACTGCATCCTAGCTATTGATTAAAATGGAGTCTAGGGGACTTTTTGTCCTGTCTGACCTTTCACCTTGATCCTCCTGATCTCTGCCTCCTGAGTACTGGTAGTATCAGGCATGCGCCAGTACAACTGAATTATTTTACAGCTTTTCAACCATAAACACACACTTCTTTGGCAATCAGCAAACTGAACTTTAATTTTTATTTATTTATTTATTTTTGACAGTTCTGGGGCTTAAACTTGGGGCCTGGGCGCTGTCCCTCAGCTTCTTTTGATCAAGGCTAGGACTCTACCACTTGATCCACAGCACCACTTCAAGCTTTTTCTGTTTATATGGCACTGAGGAATGGAACCCAGGGCTTCACATATGCTAGGCAAGCACTCTACCACTAAACCACATTCCCAGCCCAGCAAACTGAACTTTAAAAGAGAACATTTTTCTCTTAAAGGAGGAGAATCAGTTGTTAGGAGCTTTTTTTTTTTTTTTTTGAGTGTATATGTGCGTATCAGTCCTGGGGCTTGAACTCAGGGCCTGGGCACTGTCCCTGAGCCTCTCTGTGCTCAAGGCTAGCACTCTACCACTTGGGTCAGAGTGCTACTTCTAGCTTTTTCTGAGTAGTTTACTGGAAAGAAGCCAGCCAATGCTGGCTTCGAGCCATTTTCCTTAAATCTTAACCTTTTGAGTAGTGAGGATGCCACCGGTATCCAGCTTGCTTCATTTTTAATATAAAGAGACACACAAAGTACCTTGTGTCTTGAACAACCACACAAGACAAATAAAACCAAACCAACCATTGCACTTTTGCCCAAAAGTCCTTAAGCAACAAGGTGACAGTGACTAGTGTTCTAATTTTTCACTGTGTGATGATGATGTGACTTGAAACAATGTGTGGTTTTTCTCACTCAACAGCCAGCTTAAAAGACAGCCTTTAGAAGAAAGGTGAACTTTCCCACAGTTGTAAGTTGTGGGAAAGTTGAGCACAATGACCAAAAATGAGGTTTCAGTACAGTAACTGGGAAATTTATGACTCTTTCTATTGGGCTCCAATTGTGATTTCCACATAAAGCCATAGCCTTCCTTTAAACTTCCTACAAGTGCAAAGCTCAGACCCAATGGCACCAACAATTTGGGGTGGGGCTCTACAGAGAATTCTGGTATCTGCTCAGGTATGAGAAAGATGTTTTAAAACAGACAGGGAGACAAACACTCACAAGATTGTTCTATATTCCTACTAAAGTAGTCCCAGACACCCACCCATACTAGCTGGAACAAGTGCTGTCACTGTAAGCTAGTTGCAATCATACAGGAAATCATGAGATGAAGAATGAAGGATTACCAATTGGAGGTTAGTCTAAGCAGCAGTGAGATGGTATCTCTCCTTTTTTTTTGGGGGGGGTGGGTTGAATTCAGGGCTTGGGCACTGTCCCTGCGCTCTGTAGCTCAAGGCGAGCACTCTACCACTTGAGCCACAGTGCCACTTCTGGTTTTCTAGTGGTTTATTGGAGATAAGAGTCTCATGGACTTTCCTGCCCTGGCTGGCTTTGAACTGTGATCCTCAGATCTCAGCCTTTTGAGTAGCTAGGATTACAGGCGTGAGCCACCAGCGCCCTGCTTTTGTGAGATATTATCTCAAAAACAAAATAAAAACAAAAAGTGTGTAGCTTGAGTGGAAGGATGTTTACCTAGTAAGCATAAAGAGTCCAATATTACAAACCCAACAAGACAACAGAAGAGCTATGTCACTTCAAGGTTTATGCGCCATTTGCACAGCTTGACTCACATCTCACACACTCCCCAGATAGTATGTTTGTGGCTACCAAGGAGAAATCCACATACTGACAACTTTATTGGAAAAATCCACTGTTTATACAAATATTTATGAACATATTTTAGGATATAGAGCTGATAATCAATTTGTAAAGCTGCTGGCTCACATTTGTTTTATAAAAAAATTGGGGGGAAGAAGTAATGAGGTTTGAATTCCAGGTTCTGCGCTTACTAGCCACATGTTCTCCCCCTTTTAGTTACTACTCTGGAGGAGGGAGTCATGTTTTTGTCCTGGTGGCTTCTGACTATGATTCTCCTACCTGTGCAGCTGGGATCATAGGTACATATCAAAACACTTACCTTGCTGGTTGAGACAGGGTCTAACTTTTTGCTCAGGCTGGACTTTATGACGTTTCCAATCTCTATGTCCTCAGAAGCTGTGTTCATAGGTGAGTCACCTTTACTGGGTTCATAAATTATTGCATGAAAAGTGCTGGGATCCCTGTGGACTAGGTATTTTATGTAACAGTGACGAATAGCCACTGGTGTACTTTTCACTAGTGAAAACTGCCATCTCAGTTTTGACCTTCTCTTTAATCCACAAAGAGAAAAGTGCAGAAGTAGATCAGATGTCTCATCCAGAGAGACAAAGCAGTCTCTTGGTCCCTAGGCTAGTACTCTTTCTGATGTGTCAACAGGCTACTTCCAAAACAGGAGTGAGGAAAGGAAGGAAGGAGGAAGACAAAAGACAGAGCCTGGTGGGATCCTGAGGACTAGCCAACATAGCCCAGGCTGGAAAGACAACTACCCCATCACTGTTTTGAAAGAGAATAACCTCTGGCCATTTTTACCTTCTAGAATTTGGTGGACCCTGGAGTCCCTCATATACTGCTGAACAGCATAATCCTTCAGGTAGCCATAGCCCCCATGCATCTGCAAAGCCTGGTTGCAGATCTGCAGGGAGAAAAGGGATTCACTGTCTTCAGTTCCATGAAGACTAGAACATCTGCTTTCCCTCTCCATGCCAGTCCCCAATCTGACAGCCTACTGTATATTAACCAGAGGAAAATCAACAGATAGCCACCAAGCTCAGAGAGGAGCTCCATACTCTTTTTTTTTTCTTGGGGGTCCAGTCGTGGGGCCTGAACTCTGGGCCTGAGCACTGTCCCTCAGCTCTTCAGCTCAAGGCTAGCGCTCTACCACTTGAGCCACAGCGCCACTTCCGGCTTTTTTCTTTTTGCTTATGTGGTGCTGAGGAATCGAACCCAGGGCCTCAGGCATGCAAGGCAAGCGCTCTACCACTGAGCCAATTTCCCAGCCCTCCATACTTTTATATGGTCAGAGACAAAAGGAAGTCCATCTACCTTACTTGTCTATTCCCACCAGTCAAATGACCTCTGCCTTTCTCATTAGTGGCGCAGGAGAAGCTGCCTACTAACACCTTGACTGGATTATATGAAGCTCAGATACCATCTAGTAGCCACACAGCCTTGATGTAGAAATGGCTTTGTCCTCATAAGGTAAAGAGGGCAATGAGTGTTAAATCTGGGCTAGAGATACTACACCGCTCTGAACCTTGCAAAGATCATGTCTAGAACACATCTGAAAGACAGTGCTATAATGAAGTGCATAACAGTACAGGACAGGCCAAAAGGCCAGCGATGAGAACTTCTGTGCAGGCTTCTCATGCATTAATTTATATCCTTAAGCCTCAAAGCCATTCTTGTTTGTATTGGAAGGATAGAGTCCCAGAGTTGACTTAATCAAGTTTTTCAACATCTCTACGCCTAGCAGCTGCTCCTTGTCCTTTCCAGGGGAACCAAAGAGCTTATTACTTACAGCAAAGCATTCGTCTGTAACAAAGAGCTTGGCCATGGAGCACAGGGCCACTGCATCTTCCCGCTCTTCCTGCAAGGCCACAGCAGCATTTCGAACCATCAGTCTTGAGGCAACCAGCCTTGTGGCCATGTCAGCCAGTTGGAATTGTAGGTACTGCAGCCACAGCAGGAAAAAGAACCAAGACAAAGGGGCTTAGATAGGCTCTAGCAGAAGACCTTTCTAATTGACACCCCAATGTTTGTCTTCTACCTCCTCTACAGAGCAAACACAGTGTTTCCTAATTTCTAAGCCTGCTACGTTTGCCCTGGACTTGGCATTACTGCCTCCCAGGAAAGACCATGGGTAAGACAGAATAGAAATAAAAGACAGATTCTGGAAAGCACCACAAGGGCTATCATGGTCTTCTCTGAGAACAAGGGTCCTAGAGCAGGTCTAAAGATGGAAGGCAAATGCAGATACTCAGGGCCTTACCTGGTTACTGGCCAGAGGTGCTCCAAACTGCTTCCTGACCTTGAGGTGCTCTCGGGCATGGATGATTGAAGCATGAGCAGCTCCCAGAGAGCAGGAAGCTAGAGAGGAAGAGAGTTAAGGCTTCCATGAGGCCTCAGGATGAGCAGCTGGCCCCAGCCACTCCTTCCTTGCCCCATTCCTTCTGGTCCTCACCGACGTTGATCCGCCCGCCATTCAGTCCCTTCATGGCAATATGAAAGCCCTGCCCCTCGCTCCCAATCCTGTTGACCACAGGGACAGCACAGTCTTCGAAGATTACAGCTCGGGTTGGTTGGGAGTTCCACCCCACCTGGCAAAAATCAAGAACTGGGTGTCTGCCCAATAATGCCCCACATAGGGCTGCCTTCTCTGTGGACAGAAGCCTGTGAAGTATAGAGTAAAGCACCCTGGGACTCAGACCCACAAGAACGTAAAACAAGGAAAGAAAGAAAGTTCAGAGTTAAAGGCTTATCAACACTCATGAAACAAAGATGCTTATTTCAGCTAAACATTTTTTTTTCCGATCAGTTGTGGGTCTTGAACTCTTAGCATTTTTGCTCAAGGCTAGCACTCTACTATTTTGAGCCACAGTACCACTTCTGGTTTTCTGGTGGTTAACTAGAAATAAGCATCTCATGGAGGGCTGGGAAGGTGGCTCAGTGGTGGTCCTACGGCTCAAGTGGTAAAGTGCTAGCCTTGAGCTGAAGAGCTGAGGGACAGCTCCTAGGCCCAGAGTTCAGGTCCCACGACCAACCAAAAAAAAACAGTCTCATGGACTTTCCTGCCTGGGCTAGCTTTGAACCACGATCCTCAGATCTCAGCCTCCTGAGTACCTAGGATTACAAGCACAAGCCACTGTTGCCCAGATTAAACATTTTTTTTAAAGTATGTTAAGAGAATCTACATCTAACATCTATTCTATCTACAAACTTCTTGTAAGATTGGGACAGGGCCTGACCTAATTTTTGTGATTCTGTGAGCATATTCTTTTGTAAGAACAAAGACAATGTCAGAATTACTTATAGGCATTTTGTTTTTGTTGCCTATTATTTTGATTGTTTAAGATACTATCTCACCATTTAGCTCAGGCTGGCCTCTAACTCATGATCCTCCAGTGTTTGGATTACAGGCATGTACCAACATGCCTGTTAGTTTACTTCTAAAGATCTTATTAATAATAGCTTTACTTCTTTTAGAAGCATAGTTGTTAAAATGTGCTATAATTAAGGCCAACAGCATGCAGTGTGTGGGAAACCCTTGGTCTAACATTTAGCTTCAAAGAGATCCAGTGGTGTGCTGGCATCAGCTTATTGGAGTCAATTACACCTCTTCTAACTGAGCATTCTGTGATATACAGGGGTGCCTTGAAATCACTTTGATGAGAGCATTCATACTGCAGAAATTGGCCAACACTACAAATGGGAGCTCTTTTGTTTGTCTCAGAGAGCTAGTTTACCAGGGTATCAGGGGATGCCATATGTTAGTCATAAGCCCAAGAAAATTTCCATCATGTAACTACCTAGTTACAGTTTTCATCTTTGGAAAAAAACTACTTGACTTACTTATGGCCTTCCTTTTTCCAACCTTAAGTAGGGGAGCTGGACTAGAAAACTGGAAGAAGCTTTTTCTTCAAATAAAATCTCATTGAGGTGTTTCATATATAAATTGGTAAGGTCTTCACTTAATTCCCTTCATCATCTTCTCCATATATTTCAAAACTTTAAAGAACTGTAAGGCTGTAGTAAGGCAGATTAGGAAAAACTATAAACTATATAACACACCTAGGTTCCCTTTTAACTCAAAAAAACACAATCACTTTTTTTTTTTTGGCAATACTAGGGATTGAACTCAGGGCTTCACAGCCTGAGCTTTCTAAACACAATATAAGCATATGAAGGCAAGATCACATTGGTCTAATTAGTAAAGCATCAAATACAGACAGCTGGTACCCTCTAGGACTTGTGCTCTAACCAGCTACTGTGAAAATGGCCCCTCTCCTAAACTTACCAGAAAAGCTGTAGCCACATCAGGGAAGGATAATGTCCTTTACCTTGTAGAAGATTCTGTATAACTAGACTACTCCTGTTAGAGCCTATTCCTGATATTAATTTTGTCTCTTCTGCATATGATGTTGAAATTCTCTCTCTCTCTCTCTGGTGCCAGAGAGACTTCAAATCAGGACCTACGCACTTCTTCCACTTTTGCTCAAGGTTAGCACTCTACCATTGAACCAAGAGTGGAGGAAATGATGACAACATTTAACAATAGGTGTTTTGTGAAACTTACTGGCAAACTTTGTCACCTTCTCTAGTAGCTCATTGTTTCTTAACAATACCCTATTCTATTCAGTTCTTTAAACACTCTAAAGAAGCAAGTGCTTAAGGTAGGAAATCAAGTATGTGACCGAGTTTATGAAATTAGGGAGGGGTTTGTCTGACAAGTAAAAGCCTCCTAATTTGAGCTTCCTAATCAGCCACTCACCTTTTTCTCCTTCTTGCCAAAGCTGAGGCCTGGGGTCCCCTTCTCCACAACTATGCATGAGATGCCTTTGGGGCCTGGTCCTCCAGTTCGGCACATAACCACATAGATGTCTGACTCACCACCTGCACTGATGAAGGCCTGTGGATACAGAAGTGCTACATGAGTTCGGAGCCTAACACCAGGGAAAAACACTGGAGTCTTCCTTACAATAGGCAAAAGAAGACACTAAGGAGGGATCAGTAGTAGATGCAATGACTGGAGAATCAGGGATTTAGTTGATAAGAACAACAGGTGTGGTTCAAGCGATAGAGCATCAGCCTTGGGGTGGGGGTGGGGGAAGGAGGCCAAGTGAGAACATGAGGCGTTGAGTCCAAAAACCCAAGAGACCAATATGAATGACATTATCTGAAATCAGATCATAAGAGACAAAGAGTGAAGAGGAGTAAAGAGAAATGGGTCAATGTTTTTCTTCCTAGCATATAACATTCCTGTGGGAATACTAACTCAGGCTCAGGACCCAGGGGATCAGGAAGAAGATAGGAAAACACGAGTTGTTCGGGGAGGTCAGCATGCTGGTACCTTGGAGCCATTGAGGATGTAATGATCTCCTTGTTGTTTAGCGGTGGTCAAAAGGGATGCAGCATCGCTTCCACTTCCTGAAGCAGGGCTCAAATGGAACAGAAAGGGGGTGAGAAGGTCATGATTCCCTTGCCCAGCATAGTTCTATCTCCTCATGAATCTTTTTAAGAAACATTTGGGTGTGTACTACTTTAAGATCCACATGGCCAAAGGAATTTTTAGTACTTGGTAAAAACTGCTTGCATTAAGCAGACCATAGTTCCTCTCCTGACACACCAGCTAGCAGTGGTTTGCAGCTGAGAGGAAATCTGAAGACCTTTGGTACCTGTGACACAGATGGGATTCTTGTTACTCTACAACCAAACTTGGTTAAGTAAGGGCTCTGTGGGTCAGTGGGTGAACAGTGCACACTAGCTCTACCTCTCTCCCTGAGAAGTCTTCCCCTGCTAAGAATGGCAAACCCACCTGGTTCAGTGAGGCAGTAGGAGGCAAACTTCTCCATGGCACAAAGTGGTGGGCAAAGCTTATGTCTCTGTTCTTCATTTCCAAAGCTATCAATCATCCACACACACATGCTGATTGATGCATCAAGTAAGATATTGACAGAAATAAAGACAGAAAAGAAAATGGGGTGAAGTGGAAGAGAACAAAGGACAGCAAAGCAGATTCAACTTGAAAGGAAACGACTAGGCGAAAATATATTCCTGGAATGTGTTCTAAACAGAGACACTAGGATGTGATATTTCTTACCTGGATGTTTATACTACTTCCAATTAGAACTTCTAGAAATAAGTGTTAAATGTACTTCCTACTTTCTCAAATTATTGGAAGTTTCATCTGTGGATAGAGGGAAAAGGTGACAGTACCCTGACTACTCTACTGGAGCAGTCTGCTGGTAGTGGGTACTAGGACTTGGGAGAAGGCTAGCTGACCTGATTCTCTAAGCAGTGTACAAGATAGGATCAAGTCCACAGGTGGCATATCTAGGATGTCTTAGCAATAGTTTTGTTTCTCAAGGACAAGCAATCCATCCCACATGAATCAACTTCTCCTTATAAGCCAGAAACTTCCTGGTCACTCCATGTGAATGTTTACTCACTTGTGGATGCTCATGTAGGCTGTGGTGCTGGTGCAGCCTGTAGCCAATGCTTCAAAGATGACAGAGGTATCAAGCCGTGACAGTCCAGATCCACCAACATCTGTTCGGACGTAGACTCCCCCAAAGCCTAGCTGTGCTGCCTTCCGCATCATATCCACAGGGAACATCTCCTATCCACAAACAAGAGAGAAAGCTGGGCACTGGTGACTCACACCTGTTATCCTAGCTACTCAGGAGATGGAGATATGAGGATCATGGTTCAAAGCCAGCCCAGGAAAGATTGATCTCTAATTAACCACCCAGAAAAGCTGGAAGTGATGCTCTGGCTCAAGTGGTAGATTCTAAACCTGCGCAAAAAAAGCCCAGGGATAGTGCCCAGCTTTTGAGTTCAAGCCTCAGAGCTAGAAAGAGAGAAGGGGGGGAGGGAGAAGGAGAGGGAGAGAGAGAAGGAGAGAGGGAAAGGGAGAGAGGGAGAGAGAGGAAGAGAGAAAGAAGCTGGATCTGGATGCCTTCTAGAAAAGGAGTCACTGTTAATAGTTTTCTTATGGTAAATGGAGAAAGGAGACTGGGCAATTGCAATTACAAGGAGGGGAAGATATGGGTCAGAGTGAGCAGAGACACTTGGTGGAGCATCTAGCCACAGGGAAGCATCCTACCTTCTGGTCCCACTCTGCCATATTTGGAGCCATTTCCTGGGCAGCAAAGTCAAAGGCCACTTTCTGAAAAACTTTCTGCTCCTCATTTAATCCCAAGGAAGCTGTGGGTAGGAATACACATATTCAGTTCTAGGATGAAAGCCAGAGGAGAACAACAGAAGTAACAGGAAGCTGAGAGGACAGAGTTATTTTAGCATTCCCCAGACACAGAACACCTGTAACAGTTTCTCGGCTGGAGAGGAGACAGTTCTAACGCTTACCCATATCAGCCTAGGACAACACAGGCAGACTCTGCAGACATCTTACAAGTGCCACAGTGGCAGCTGTAAATAGGCAGAAATGGGGGCAAACAGGGATACAAAAAGCAAAAAATGGGAAGAGCAGGATGGATCAAGACACTGGACAATTAAGAAATATCCCTATCTCCCTTTACTCCCACAGGGCTTGGTTGACTTTATTTTTCCAACCTACTTACTTTTCAAAGATCTTAATCTCGGCCTGGTGCTGGTGGCTTACCCCTGTAATCCTACCTACTCTGGAGACTGAGATCTGGGGATTGTGGTGGCTCAAGTGCTAGAGCACAAGTCTTGGAGCATGAAAGCTCAGGGACAGTGCCCAGATCCTGAGTTTAAATCCCAGAACTGGTACATGCACATATCTTTACTTCTTCCTCTTCATAAATCCATACAAATTAAAGGGCCGGAGTCCAATGTAGTCAAGTGTTGTCTAGCATTCCTGAGGCCCTGTTGTATGATAACTGAAACATGGTAGATCCAATGGAGATCTCAAACAGTGTAATTTATTAGAAAGCCAAAATCAAAGTTCAGCAAAATAAAACACTAGGAAGTGGGTACTCAAAAGGGGTGAGGGCAGGGTCAAAGGGACAGGGGTAGACAAATGAAAAAAAGGAGAAAAACGCAGACAAGAATCCAATGTATATCCTGAAAAATTCAAAAGAGAGATGGAAGGGGTGTGTAGGGATAGGATGGGATGGGTAAGAATGTCAAAAGAGATATCACTGATCAAGGTATATTGTATTCATAAACTACTTGGTTAAATGTTAATAATTTCAAAATGGAAGGTACTACCATGTTTTAGTCCTAGTAGCTCAATGTATGTTACTATATCTTCTTCATCATTGTCTTACTTGACCGAGCAAAGAGCTACTTCCTAACGGCAAGCAATTCCAAACAACCAAAGGAGAGCAGATAGGATTACAAGGGTGAGCCCTGGGCACCAGGCTGAAATAAAGATTTTTGAAAAATAAGTACATAAGAAAAGTAGAGTCAGCCAAGCCACGTGAGAGTAAAAGAAGACAGTGAGCATTAACAATATTAGAATTTTATTCTATGACTGGAAGCATGGATCAATTGGCACAGTGCCAGACATGAGGTATACAAGCTAAGCAAGAACCTGGTACCTGACAATACAGCACAACAGGACTGTAGCTGTGGCTCAAGTGGAAAAGAATCAATTGTGAATGAAAAAAGCCCAGTGAAAGAGTGAGGCACTGAGTTTGAGCCCCAGAATATATACAGACACAAAGACAGATGGACGGATGGACAGACAGACACACACACACACACACACACACACACACACACACACACACACACACACAGAGAAAGGGTAAGGTATGTAAAGGAAAACATGGAGAGTAAGTAAAACTCCATAATTTTCAAAAGGCAAAAACAACCATGAAAATATGCCAAACAACAGGACTCACGAACTTTGCCAGTTACAGGCAGAGGTGAAAGTGTAAGCACATAATATACTCAAATGGCAAAGCAAATTGGAAAAACAAAACAAGTGGGATGAGGAAAGCCTTTATCATACAACTTAATTAGAAGCAAAAGGCAAAGCCTCCAGAAGCTTTTAAAATAAAACTACCATCTTTAAATGTATCCAAAGTAGAAAACTTAAGTAGAGCCCAGTAGAACTATTTGAGAATCTTCAGATGCTTGACAATTGTAGGCTTTTGAGTTCTGGCTCTGAAAATGGATCATTTAAGTCAGGGACCTCTCTAAACCTGTTAGCCCAATGTAAAACAAGAAGGCTACTTTTGCTGCATTGAGCACATTTTCTCACCTATGAAATGAAGACATTTTATATATAATATATAGGTACCATATAAAATAAATCTTAATTCTCTTAAAATTGTTCAGCTTTAAAACACAAAGAAACATTCAAGTATGTTAATTATCAATTCATTTAAATTTCCTTTTTCAGTAATAAGGATTAAACCCAGGGATTTGTGTAGGTTTAGCAGATTCTCCACCACAAAACCACTCTACCCAGAGCCTATTAATTTGTTTGGTTTGATATACAATTAGACAATTTTCTTTCATTGACTAATTAAAATAAAATAATTTCTTCTGAAAAGCTGAATGAGGCAGGAAGGGGTGGATTGGGAGACATGGATGAGAATGCTGAAAGGGGTCACTGATCAAGATGCACTGCATTCATAAACTGCTTTGTAAAATGGCAACTCCTGTGTGCAACTTTAAGATAATTCTTTTTTTTAAACAGAAGTAGGTCCTAACAGCTAGAGTTAAACCAGTAACTACTGGAATCACTCATATTTATATTATCGGTTGCCATAACCACTCCAGTCTGCTTTGGCATCAATCAAATGACCTTGTTTACAAAATCCTAAGAGATAGATGATACCAAGCAACACCTCTTGAGTAGTTTTAGGGTTCACCTCCCCCCCCCAACACACAATATTCTATACTTAGTGTGCTTCAAGAGTACATTCTTCTGTAGGTAAAATCTCCCTTCATTTTTAAACAAATGAAAAACTGTCAGAAAAAAACAAGAACTAGTTCGGAGACAGACAGAGAGCTCATTCTCTTTGTCCTGGTAATTGACCAACACTTCTCCACCTTCAGCTTACATTCCATTTGCCCTCAGACATTCCGGTTCGTTCCCTATCTAGTGGCTTCTCAATCGCATGTTTATTTTTCTTGCCAGTTTCAGCAACACAGGTTTTAAGCCTGCAGGTCATTTAACCCCCCCGCCGCTTAGGCTCCCCCTGAACGTCGGAATCCACACACGCGACTTCATCACACACACATCAGTCACAGGCTACACATCTGGGGGTGTCCGCAACGAGCGGGGCAGAGGGAAGTGGGTTCGGGAGGTAGAGGATGCCGCGAGGAGCGGGAGATGCCCTGCAACGCGGGCTCGGGGTGACGGGCCTCCACCGGGGGAACCGCAGAGGAGGCCGAGCCTGAGGCTCCTCGCAGAAGCCCACGGGAGTCCCGCTTTGTCTCAGCCTTACGATCGATGCAGGAGGTCAAGCTCCGGTGGCAGGTCTGGATGGGGGTCCCGAGACCGCGACGAAGCCAGCTGAGGCGCGCCCCGAGGCAGAGGTAGCCGAGCCGGAGCTTGTCCATCACAAAGACAGACAGGGAGTGCAACTGGACCCTGGCAGCATTTGCACTGGCCTGGACTGACCAGCGACCTCTGTCGCACTGCACTATGGGAATTGTAGTCTAACATGACCCTCGTTAGCCTCGCTCCAGGTGTGCTTCTCGGAAGAGAGGACTACAACTCCCAGAAATCCTCGGTGGCAGGCACCAAAGAGACCTGTAGTCCACGGAACCCTTAGGCTGCGTGCCGGCGGGCGGAGGGAGGGGGGAGAGGGGGCGGGCTCCGCGTCTGCGCAGATCCCGTGTTTGTGTGAGGTGGGGAAGCGTGGTCGCGAGAGCGGGGGACGTTGCCGAGAACCGGAGAGGATTTAGGTGAGGTTGTGCGAGGTTATCTCATAGATGGCCGGGGAAAAGGCCCTCGGGGCTTGTAAGCGCTGTCGGCTCGGTTCTCCGCAGGCCAGCCCTTTACCCTTCCCGTTGCCTTCTTTTTGCCGCGCGCAGGCTCTGGAGGACGGCTGAACGGCTTCTGGCCGCTCCCGGTGGACTCCGGAAATCTGCCCGTCCGCCCCTCGCCGAGCCCATGGCAAGACCCCGGAAGAGGCAGGCTGGGGCCGCCAGCTCAGGTGAGCTGCCCGAGACGGCAGAAAAGGCCGTCCCCCTGAACAGCATTTCTCTGAGGCCGGTTCAGGAGTGTTCGCTTTAAGCTGGGCACAGTGGTGCACGCTTGTAACCCCAGCACTGGGGAGGTGGAGGCAGGAAGATTAGGAATTCGAGGCCAGTTTGTCTCCCCTTCCCCCCCCCCCCCCCCCCCCAGTGTTCATTTTCCATTCCCTGCTTGTGGATGGAAGCTTTTGGTATCCAATTGTCACTCATTAACCTCCTCCCATCCTTTTCTTTTCCCTCCAAGTTTCTTCTTGCTTGTTCACCCAAACCACAGTTATTATTTGTTATACGGAGTCCAAAGTACCGAGGTAAAAAGGTAATTCCCTTTAAGACAACGTGGGTGGAACTGGTGATCATCATTTTAAGTGAATAAGCAAGGCATAGAAGGTAATGATGTGTGTGTATGTATGTGTGTGTATATATATATTTATGTATATATATATACTTTATATATATATATATACCTCACTCCTACGTGGAATACAAAATACGTTGATCTCGTGGAAGAGTTGACAGTAAGTAGTTGCTGGAGGCCAGAAGAGTTGAGCAGAATGAAGGATGGGGAGTGGCTGGTCAATGGCTACTAAGTTCAGTTGTGCTATTGCACAGGAAGGTGACTATAGATGATGTACTGTACATTTCAAAAGGCTGTAAGAAAGAATTTAGAATGTCATCTCTATAAGGAAATTATGAATGTTTCAGGAGATAGATTTATTCAACCTGATTGAAACATTACACAGTCTGTACATGTATCAAGATGTCACATGGAATCACAATGATATGTGCTGTTTTCATGTCTTATCTATCAGTTAAAATTTTAAATTAAAAAAGAATTGATTTGCTGGGTGCGGTGGCTCACGCCTGTAATCCTAGCTACTCAGGAGGCTGAGATCTGAGGATCACAGTTCTAAGCCAGCCTGGGCAGGAAAGGCCATGAGACTCTTATCCCAGTAAACCACTAGAAAACTTGAAGTGGTGCTGTGACTCAAGCGGAAGACGCTCGTCTTGAGCTGAAGAGTGCAGGAACAGCGTCCAAGCCCAGAGTTCAAGCCTCACAGCCGACCAAAAAAAAAAGAAAAAGAAAGAAAGAATTGATTAAAAAGTGAGGATGAAAGAAATACAATTCCTTTTCCAAAATAAAATGTTTGAGACCACCTCAAACATGCAAAAAGGTGTAAGTGAAATCTGGGAGACTGGACTGTTGGATATAATGAGGGAAACATCACAGGGAAGGCCTTGAAAGGGAGGTAGAATTTGAGTTTAGCTTAAAGAATGGGAAGGCTTGCCTCATTAAATTGATAATCCAGGGATACCCTGTTAGGCAGGTTTTTCTGTCCATTTCCTCATAGATAAACTGAAGTTTCATATGTATAAGACTAAGATGCTACTACTGCTAGTACTCCTACAATCCAGGATCTGAATCTAGGTATGATACCGAAGGGTACATTTTCCCACGATAGCACATTACCTGCTAGCAAGGGTTATGGGACATCTTTTCTTTTCGGTTCTGGTCCTATGGCTTGAACTCAAGGCTTGGGTACTGTCCCTGTGCTTTTTTTGCTCAAGGCTAGTGCTCTATCATTTGAGCCAAAGCTCTACTTCTGGCGTTTGGGTAGTTTATTAGAGATAAGTGTCTCACAGGCTTTCCTGTCTGGGCTGGCTTTGAACAATGATCCTTCGATCTCAGCTTTTTAAGTAGCTAGCATTATAATCTTGACCCAGCAATGCCTGTCTCATGATCTTTGCTTTTTGCATTCCTATCACAGATAAGAAGGGACTTTCAGGAAAACGTTCCAAAACTTCAAACTCAGGCAAGGAATTGCCTAAAGAGGAAAACTGTAGCCCTCAGAAGACTTCAGCCCCTAAAAATGATGGGAAGAATGTAAGCAAGTACTGGCTGATGAAGTCAGAGCCAGAGAGCCGGCTAGAGAAAGGTGTAGATGTGAAGGTGAGGCTATCTGGCTACAAATCCTTCATGCTGTTGTTTCTTAAATGAAAAGTGAATGTGAGACTGCATAGGGTTCTACCACCAGCTTACCTCTGAAGGGTGGGAAAGGTGAAAATGAATAAAACCAGCAGAATTTATTACCATCAATTACAAGTTGAATATTAGCCAAAATGCCTTGGACCAGATGTGCAGATGTGTTTCACAGTTTGGAGATTTTTTTTTTTGTAGAGTATTTGGGAAGTTTTGCTTGTTTTTGTCGGTCGTGGGGCCTGAACCCTGGGCCTGGGTGCTTTCCCTCAGCTCTTGCGCTCAATTCAAGAGCCTTGAGCCACTTCCAGTTTTTTCTGCTTAATGTGGTGCTGAGGAATCGAACTCAGGGCCTCATGCATGCAAGACAAGCACTCTACCACTGAGCCACCTTCCCAGTCCTATATGTGGGAAGTTGTACAGGTTGAGCATATCTAATCAAAATATCTGAATCTAAAACTTTTGAATATTGGTACATTTCAGAACATTTTGGATTTCAGATATCCAGATTAGGCATGTTCAGACTCTTATCTGTTTTGTAACTAGATTCTATCCAGGTAGGCCTAGGCAAACTTCTGTGAAGTGCAAGATATTAAATATTGTAGGCCTGGGGGTTTTATAGTTTCTGTTGAAACTGCCTGTATGGTAGGAAATTGGCCATATTACATAAACAAGTATAGTTGTGTTCAAGTAAAACTGTGTGGGGTTAGATCCTAAAGCCTGCTAGTTTGCCAGCTTCAATGTTTCCGTGTTTTTTTGTTGTTGTTCTTGTTTTGAGATGAGTTTCACTATGTACCTCAGGAAGTCCTCAAGCTCACTAATCCTCCATGCTGGAATTGCAGATGCTTACCAACATGCTTGCTTACCAACATGCTTGCCCCTGGCAAGCCCTTATGTGCCTCCTTATTTAATTTGGTATATATTCAGGAAGTAGATGGAAACCAGTGTTAATAACAGCCTGAGAGAAGAAATACATAATACTTCATAAGAGTAATGCCAGAAACCAAGAGATTATCATCTTGGCTATCTATTCAGCTAATCCCCTTAATTATCCAAGATCCAAGTAATCCAGGACTTAAATCCATTCAACATCAATGGTTCTGTGAAGCTGTTTCCTAGTAAACTACACATTTCTGTTAGAGCTTATTGCACTTTTTAGTGGTAGGGAGGAAACTTCCATATATGCTTACTAATTGGCCTTGACCTTGGTGATTTCATGAATGGCTTTATTTCCTCTTGCCTAGTTTGGCATTGAAGATCTCAAAGCAGAGCCCAAGCAGACAGCATGCTGGGATGGTGTTCGAAACTATCAGGTAAGGGGATTAGGTGCAAGGCTCCTGAGACTTAGGACTGGATAAATGTCTACCTCCTCCTCCTCTTGGCCAGAAAGTTGTTTTCCTAGAACCTTAGCCTGAAAAAAATTTTTTTAATACTGTATTTACATATATTGTATGAAATCTGTAAGTGACCTGGTTCTGGCCAGTGTCCTAGCACAAGTCTGGATGTTTTGGCAAAGGGACAAACTGATGAGTTGGGAAGAAGTTGAAAAATAGAAAAAGTGATCTAATAAAAGGAGAACTGATTAAAAAAAAAAACTTTTTTTGCCCAAAGCTGGCATTTCCAAGCTGGTAGGGAGGATAATCCCTGTCTCTTCTCCCTTGGATCAGGCTCGGAACTTCCTGAGAGCCATGAAGTTGGAGGAAGAAGCCTTTTTCTACCATAGCAATTGCAAAGAGCCAGGCATTGTGGGACTTATGAAGGTAAGGGGGCTAGGTTGTACATTAAGACCCTCCCTCTTGAGAGAGACTTACTCGTCTAAGGGATACAGCTCAGATAGATAACAAAAGGAGGTGTCTTTCTCCCCGGGAACAGAGACAAGACTGTCTTGTTCCCTTCCAATATGGTAAGGACTAGAATAAATCTTGCTTTCATTTCAGGGCCTACTAGCACACACTTCTTCATCTCTATGTCTTTGTCTCTCACTCAGAAGAAAGCCTGGTGACAACTTCTCCTATCTAAATTGTTGTTAGTAATAATCATTACTATTTAGTTTTAGACCATGCTTGTAAGACTATAAAATAAAAGCAAGGCTGATTTCCTAACTGTATTTGCCCTAGGCTATAATATTTTTAGACATATGAGCACTGATTGGCTGGCTGTATAGCAAGGGGGAAGGTGGGTACAAATGGGTAGAGTAAGAATGAAAGATTTTTATTCATGATTGGCTATGGAGCTGAAATGATGAGAAACTTTGGATGTTGTTTCAGATTGTTAAGGAGGCTTACCCAGATCACACACAGTTTGACAAAAACAATCCTCATTATGACCCATCCAGCAAAGAGGACAACCCCAAATGGTCCATGGTAAAGACTCCTGTTCTATTTTGTGAGCAGGGAAAGGTGGATGAAGGGAGAAGGGCAGGATACAAGGAGCACAGTCAAGTCTTGCTCAATTGAGGATATGCTGATTTAGGTCATTAGAACAGAATTGGCAGCCTTATCCCCGGGAGCTTCCTGCAAGCAGCCAAAAACCATTATGTGTTGGCATAAGGCACATACCATTGTCCCAGCACTCAGGAGGTGGAGGCTGGAGGATTGTTTGAGCCCAGGCATGTAAGGCCAGTCTCGGCAATATGACAAGTGTTGCAGAGCCTGGCTAGACAAACCTTTGACCCGTACACTGATGTCACATAGGTGGATGTACAGTTTGTACGGATGATGAAGCGTTTCATCTCCCTGGCTGAGCTCAAAACCTACCACCAGACTCATAAAACAACTGGTGGCCCCTTAAAAAATATGGCGCTCTTCACTAGGCAGAGACTTTCAATTCAACCGCTGACCCAAGGTAAGAATGGGCCCCTTCCCTTATCCATACATTAGAACTGCCCCCCATGAATTCACTCACTAGCTGATTAAACTTGCGCACAGTAGTAAATCCTTTTGAATCAGTATCTTCACTTGTGAGACCTTTGAGGGAGGAGGTCCTGAGTTTCCCATTGCTATGTGCCCAGTATTCAAATCCTTGGCATTTTAAAAACATCTTTATCATTTTTGAATGATTAGCTACCTGATGCAGTATCGCACCAAAGATCTACTGGAGCCTGCCATTCACTTTCTTGTTCAGGAAGAAACCTATTTCTTCTTTTTATCCCTTTTTGTTTCTGGTAGAAGAGTTTGATTTTATTTTGAGCCTGGAGGAAAAGGAACCAAGTTAACTGAGGTATTGCTGTTGGAATGGACACCAAAAAGAGAAAGAAGGAAGGAAGGAAAGAAGGGGAAAGAAAAGCTTTTAGAAAAAGTTTGCCTATTGCATTCACCTGGGATCATGTACAAATGTGTTTATTTACTTTTTTTTTTTTCAATAAAATGTTTGATACCAAAGTTGAAAGTTTTCTTCTAAAACTTCATTGGTACCTGGTGCTGGTGGCTCACACCTGTGATCCATGTTACTAGGGAGGCTAAGATCTGAGGATTAAGGTTTGAAGCCAGCCCAGACAGACAAATCTGTGACACTTGTCTGCCAATTTACCAGCAAAACACCCCATAAAACAAACAAACAAGAACACCCATCAAAATGCCAGAAGTGGTTGAACTAGTAGAATTCCATCCTTTTGTGAAAAGGCCAAGTGAGAACCAACACTGTACTATCAAAAAGCAAGCAAACAAGACGTTTCACCTTCATTGGGTGTGGCAGAATACTCCTGCACATCTCTTAGATCAAGGCTGCTCCTTTGGCCATTGGAAAGATGGAGGGAGCCTCTCCCATCCACCTCTACCCTTGCTGATATTTACTTAACAAATAGAAAAATGTAGGGATGAGTTCTTTGGTCTTGTAACATTCACTGAAATGCATTTTTAGACCTAAACCAGTCTTTCTCACCAGCCTTTAAGGTCCTCTGGGTTTTACTGAGGTTTAAATGGGTTTTAGAGTAAGTTGCCAGATAAGAGGTAAAACCTAAATTTGCTTTCCAGCCATGTAATCATCTAAAACAGGTGCTCATCCTTGCTTTTCAGGAGCTGTCCACTGAGAAAGCAGGAGCTGTGGTAGAGTTGGGATAAGAATCTTTCCCTGAGTGTCAGAGGTAGGACATTGTAAGACAAGAGACCACAGAATCTGGTGGACCGTGAGCACAATGCCTCTAAAGCCACAGGGGCTTCCTTTAATTAGAGAGACCATTAAAACAAGTATTCTTTTTAAAATACAGCCATTGAAAAGACAACACATTAAGAAACATGTAAACACTGCAGCTGCGTAATTACAAGTTGCACTGCTTGGTTTAGTACCTGTGCACTCCCAGGTCTGGGAACCTTAAAGGAGGGGGGACAGGAGCTTCCCCTCACTTTCACAGTAGAGAAGAGATGAGAACAGGGGCAGAGTCAGAAAACTAGACCTGGCTGTACACAGTGCAAGAGGAAGCAAATTCTGTCTCTTCTAGTTCTCCCAGAAGGAAGGTTTAGAATGTTAGGAAAATGGGTGAATGAATTTGTGTTGTCAGTTGGGAGGCAGAGGAATTGACAAATGCTTTTTAATTAGAATACTAGCTCTAGTAAAAGGAGGCACACCAGAGCCTAATCTCATGCTCTGAAAAAGGCAATACCACTGAACCCGCCTCCCTCATACACTTAGCTCCAGCCTTGATAATCCAACAGCAGCTGGATGGATGATCTTGTTCCACAGGGATTGTGTATCGCACCTGAACTTGGGGTCTGGCATGGGGGAAGCCTTTGCCTTCCTTGGCTCTGCTGCACCCAGTTAACTTTATGTGTACCCCAGGGCCTTTCCCTTCAGTTCTGTTCCATGATTTCTGTCCAGTCAAGGCCCAAGACTGCAGTTTTCTGAGGAAAAGAGGGGTCCCCATTTTCCACACGAACTGAGACAACACAGCAACCAAAGTTCTACTTTCCAAATTGCCAGTAATGCAGATCACTAACTATGGTACCCATTGGCCAGTGGGGTCTGTTTGGTTTTGTATAGAGGGAAGAGAGGCCAATAGGAGAGTAGTTCTGGCCATTCCCAGATGAGACAGGGCAGGCAGTAAACATCTTTACTACTGTAGGCCTGAATACAGAGCAACAGAGAGGGAACTGCCTCTCCCCTAGGGTAACAATATCTAGGAGAATTTTCCTATTCATGTTTTTCCAAAAAAAAAAAAAAAATAATAACAATGGTCCTAATCTTGGGTCAGTGAACTTGTGAAAATGAAGATATAATTTGGCAAGCAGAATTATTCTGAGGTGGTAGCAGAGTCCTTTGTGGGGACCCTAATCTCCCTCCCTTACAAGTAGAGGGAAGAAGGTGCTAGGGATGTGGGGATAAGAACAAAATTTCCAAGTGTTTGAAACTAAGCCCTAATTCCCAGACATTAGGTGGGGGGTCGGGAGTGATAGAGTCCACTCTGGGAGGCAAAATGATCCTGGTCCCTGCCAGGACTTCTGCTTCAAGGAGACAACCATCATGCTTAGGGTTTGGGGAACACAACAATACCCTAGCACAACCCAGCCCTCAGGGCTTCGAAGTGGAGTCACATGATCAGGAAGACAAGTTGCCATGCCTTGTCCTTCTTCCTCAGTCCCCTGGCTATTGTGTAATGGACTCCAGGCTTCTCTGTGCCCAGACATTTCTTATGGGTAAGGGGACAGTCAGCTCCAGGCCCTTTCACTTGTTTCTGCTCCAGGATGCTCCTGACAAGCCTGAAAAGATGGAGAGGTACCTGGGTCCCAGAAGTGGTAGGCCAAAGAGGTGGCTTGTGGAAACTTCAAAGCACCTCGCCCGAGACTCCCAGAGAGAAAGCTTCCTGATCTTGAGTGTTTTTCCCTACTTAGGATGAGAGAGGCCTAACTCCTTCTGCTGCCACCTCAAGGACGGTCGGTCAAGGGGAGTGTAAGCCATGACTCCCCAGAGATCTGCAGGCAGCTCTGCATCCCAGGGACACACACAGATCCTGTATCAGGAAGCCCAGAGAACCAGTAGCCAAGGATGCATGCTCGGCAGCTCTCCTCAAGACACCAAGCAACCCAAGGGGAAGCTGGCTTTCATTTCCCAAGGAGAGACTAGCTTCCTAGATGCTCCCTCTCTCTAGCCCCCCCATCAGCTGCAGAATCTCAGGGAGACTGCTTCCCAACCCAATGCCCTTTATGTTCTTCAGAGAAAAGAATTGAAGTCAAAAAACATGATTTGTTTTCAAGATTGCAAGTAACGGTCAGCTGAGCCAATGCCATCCTCCCCCTCCCCCGGCCGCTGGTGTTTGGTAGATGGAGATGCTGAGCCACAGCCCAGCCAGCTTCTTGGCCGGGGCCTACTGCCTGCCATTGTTGTCTGACAGTGGGTTGGGGGTCCGCACCTCACCCAGGGAGGCTGTTCCCTCGAAACGTTGGGAGGCCACGGCTGCTTGGTGGGATGCACTCTTCCGCACGATGTCTCCCTTCCGCCACAGCACCACTTCCTGCAGGATTGAGGGGGGCAATAGGAAACCTGAGAGGAAGGCTTGGGAGGGGGCTTCCAGGAGCTCCCACCTTGGTCCTGGAGAATCTTAGGCAAGAATCTCTACTGACCTCTCCTTGAAACGGGCTGCCTCTGCCTCTTGTCCCTGCTGAGGGTCCAGTATCAAGTGGGAACTCTCATTCTTGCTGTGGGATTTTGGATAACCTAACATTTCCACCCCTTGCTAAAATAACAGTATAGACAGACTAGCTCCTCTCTTGTCTGTTTAGTCTGTTAAAAATAGAATCTACCCTTCCCTGGAAAGGATGTTCTTTCTTTCTGTGCAGTTCCCAGGACACCTAGGAGTCTGCAGGGGGCAATCACCTGCTGCTTGAAGTATCGCCGTTCCTCCTCATCTATCAGCACCAGGTTGAGGTAATAGCGCACAGAGAACTTCTTGTTGATGTCCCGCATGGTGGGCGTGAGCTCATACCCTGCCAGGAAGAGCCGGATGGGGATGGACTCTCCTGCAAGGAGTGAGGCAGGAATCAAGGCAAGGGACAAAGTACCCCCAACTCCATCTTATACCAGCTCTGTTTCTGAGGCTCCAACTAAGAAAGGGACAGAGCACTAAGCAAAGGCTTCTCCCTTTTGGATGTTGTGCTGTAACTCCTAGTAGCTGCTGCAGAAAAACTGGGTTTCTTCAGTTTCATCCCTGTGGGTACCTTTTGCCTGTCTTCTCACATCTTACTGCAGTTGAGTGTGAAGGACATAGGGATGTTGTGTATAAACATCTTTAGGCATACACAATGTACCTGCTTCCTGAGTTTTCAAGAGGCAGTTGTCAAACCCAAGAGGCCAGTCATCCAACAATTATGACACCACCTCCCTCCATCCAAGTTAGAGCACCATTCCCAATCTTGAATATGGATCTGCAGGGCAGGGGAGGGCCTAGAACATAGAAATATTCACTCTGGTCCCTAGTCTACACTAGCCCATTTATGACTTGTGAATATACCTGTTGCTTTTTCTGGACCTAAGTTCTCATGGAAAACCCTACTTTTGATCCCTTTTAGTTCCTAACACTGCACCTTTCTTAGTATATAAGGAATAAAATTAGGGCAGTAATTCTACTGGGAAAGGCCAAACCTATAATGTAGTCTAAATATAAATAATCTTAATTATCTGTGCTTTGTATCATCCTCTTGGTACCCCATTTCATTTGTGCAGGAAAATGACAGCATCAGAGAGTCAGGAGAGCAAGGGCTCTCCCAACGCCTAGCACTGCGACACGTAGGAATATGCTAAATATACCTAGTGTTGCAGGCTGTTAACTCTGTAACCTTCCTTCTTCTATGTGGAACAGGCCATGGGAATACACTGGGTAAAACCTTGGATGCACCCAGCACTTCACCGTGAGAAGAAACCTTCTTCACCCTCTGTTGCTAGGGAGTCAGTAAAGAATGTAAATGTTCCTATGCCACAATAATCACCTGAATCCCCTGAATTACAAACACCTTTCGATTCTGCTCATCTTAGATGTACTATCAGCCTCGTGGGATGAGAGACCATTTCCATGGGGTTCTGGCGCTGGCTGTAGCCCTGAGTAGTGTGTTGTAAGTACCTTATAGGGCCCCTCTATGCTAGATTAGCAAATTCAGAATGACTAATTTTTACCAGAGCTAAGTGATGAAAATGACTGCCCCGCATGATCTCTCTAAAAAACAAAAAGTCAGCATGGCAACTAGAAAAAGAAGTAAAATGTTCACACTGTATCTTAAATCAGTACCTTTCAAACTTACATTTTTTAAACACCAACAACAAAACAAGTCTAATTTTTTTCTTTTTTTCTTTTTTTTTGTGCCAGTACTGAGGTTTGAACTCAGGGCCTGGGTGTCATCCCTTAGCTTTTTGCTCAAGGCTGTCTGGCACTTTACTGTTTGAGCTATTCCAGCTTTTTGTTGGTTAATTGAAGATATGAATATCTTGGATTTGTCTGTCCTGGCTGGCTTTGAATGGAGATCATCAGATCTCAGCGTCCTGAGTAATAAGATGTGAGACACTGGCACCCAGCTCCAGGTCTAATTCTTGAGATTAAGTTTAATATATGCATAAAGTCAATATTGAACTGTTGTGGTTAAAGATGGAGTTGCAGCCTAAAGTTCCAGAGACTCAACTTTTCTATTCCTTTTTCCCTGTGGTGCTGGGGACTGAACCCAGGGCCTCATGCAGAACGCTTTACCACTGAGCTATACCTACAGATTCAACCTTTTATTCTTCCTTATTAGCTCTCACAGTGTACACACAATTAAGAGACTAAGAAATCACAAGTTAGTAAGCATTTCACTTCAACAATGTCATCTCTTAAGCTCTTCCCAAATTCTGTACAGGGCCTGGAACCAAAGGTATGGTGGTAGGGGACCAGAAGGCTCACCTCGTACTGGTGCCCCATCCATGATCTCGTACTTGGCTATTGTATCATTCTCATGGTACACATTGGGGCCTGTGCCTGTTGTTTCCCGTTTGATGATGTCTATCTCCATGTGCTTGATTTTGATTCTCACCAGCAGGAAGTATATCTTCCCTACAATGACATCCTTCAAGTGGTATCTGAAGAAGACAAAGTAGAGGAAGTAAGGTGGTGGTGCAGTGGCTGGCCTCTGTGTCAGCAGAAAGCACACTGCCAGGACTGCCCATGCTGTGCATTCATGCATCTTCCCCTCCTTGCTGCTCCTTTGCACAAATCTGGGTGATTCCCATTCTTCCACAGTCTGCTCAAAGGACATCTATCCTACATAATACTTCACTCATTCTTAGGTACTCATCTGCTCTCTCTCTCATCAACACATACTTCAGTATCGGTGCTTTTAAAATGTCTGTGTTTTTCTTAGGTTTGAGAGGCCAGTTCTACAAACCAGGTCTCTCCTTTCCTCCCTGTTCTCCACATAATGTCTTTTGGGAACTGGACCTGAACAGCTCACAACAAACAGTTGTATTTGCTCTGAGCTGGACAGGCCAGGCAGAAGCAGTAGAGGGAGATGGGTGAGTCTCTCTTGGAATCAGTGTCTGCTCTCTGGGCTCTGTTTGCATGGCTTGTGCTGCGTGCTCTGTGTGCTCAGCCTAGTGGACACGAACACTGCCAGAAACTTCAGACTTCAGCCTCCTTATATGACAGTATAAAAAAGGAAGATAGAATTGAGAGGGGGCAGAGAGAGGTAAATCCAGATTCCTAGTCCTCAGATGGGGTTCTTCAAGGGGTCTCAGCACCCTTCTTAGTCTATTAGGAAGGTTGCAGACCTGAGAAGATAAGCGCACATCTGCTAGCTGCTGCCATTAACAGGTACCTGCCACATTAGTGGACATGACCATACAATGCCCGGAGAGGAGAAAGGGAAGAAGCCAATTTCCATGCCAGGCCCAAACTGGCCTCCCTTTTAGTACCTCAATCTTGATCTTCAGATGGGCCAGGCCAAAGGGGCTTATTCCAGGTCATACTGGGCTCCAGGCCAGGGGGTGGAAGGAAGTAACTTCATATCTATTCCAGGTACTAAGTATGTTCTTAGTTTAGAAAATGTTGTTTCCCAGCTCCTGCAAAGGCGACCATCTAGATCAGCTTCTATCACTTCACTCAGCCTCTGTTACATAGTAGGTCTGGAGCTGGGTGAAGTGGACAGGGCAGGGAAGCACCACAGGGAGACTATAATTGTACACTTTTTGTTTTTTGTTTTTGGTCAGTCATGGGGTTTGAACTTGGGGCCTGGGTGCTGTCCCTGAGCTCTTTTCCCTCAAAGCTAGCACTCTACCACTTTGAACCACAGCACCACTTCTGGTTTTCTGGTGGTTAATAGGAGATAAGAGTCTCATAGACTTTCCTGCCCAAGCTGCCTTGGAACTGAGATCCAAAGATCTCAGTCTGTTGAGTAACTAAGATTATAGGCATGAGCCACCAGTGTCTGGCTTGTACACTTCTTTTTAGATCTCTGTGAGTAGAATATTCTGTTTACTTTTGGATATTTGATTTCCAAACATTTTCAAGGACAGATTATATTCAAAAGAAAGATGCTTTTGAAACTGTCAGACTTCCAGAAAATATTGTGATTTATAAGCAGTTAAATACTTTGGTGTTCTATCAATAAACACAGTCTAAAAATACACACACACACACACACACACACACACACACACACACACACACACACACACACACACACACACACACACACAAACCAGATGACAACAACAAAATACATAGTTTCTCAGCTTACCAGTTAAAAGAAAAGTTATTTTTCTCTTTTTCTTTGTTTTTATTTTGCCCATACTGAAGTTTAAACTCTGGTGTCACATTTACTTGGTTGGCACTCTGCCACTTGAATCATGCTTCCAGCCTAATTTTATTTAAGCTGGTTATTTTGAAGATATTCCCATATATTAATTCTGCCACAGGAGGCTTCAAACTGTATCCACCAGATCTCAGCCTCCTAAATAAGTTAAGACTACAGGCATGAGCCACTGGCACCTGGCCTAAAACTGTTTTAAGATCTTTATAAAAATGGATTGGGTATTTTTGACTACAACTCATATTAGTCCAAGAAGGAAGCAGCAAACTATTGTAAATGTTTGTTTTCTTCACTGTGATTTCTAAAGACACAGAGGAAACAAGTCATAATGGAATTGTGTTCTCTGATTATTCTCATCTGCAGAAGGAAACAGCTATCCCTGGAATCTAAAACAACCTAAAAGTTACTTGGCTTGACATTAAAGGCATCTTCAGATGTTTAACTCCTTAAGTTAGTGTATTGTAAGTAGAGTGAAGTATCAATTTCCAGGCCCATCTATCGGGAACTAATCTATTATATCTATTTATTTACTATATTATTTCTGTTTCCCCCCTCCCTTACAGCATATCTCTATGATTCAGCAGAGTCCAGATCTCTATTAATTGGCATACAAATCAGATTCTGTCTCCAATTATTTTTTGTGTGTATGCCGGTACTGGGGATTGAACTCAGAAAGTGGCAGATTCACTAGGCTTTTTTGCTCAAGGCTGACATGACTTGAGCCAAACTCTGTTTAGAGCATTTTCTAGTTCACTGGAGATAAGAATCCCATGGAGTTTTGTGTGTTGTTTTTGGTTTTGTTTCTTTTTTTTTTTTCCCCCTGGCTGGCTTTGAATTGTGATCCTCAGTTATCAGCCTCCTGAATGGCTGGGATTCCAGACTTGAGCCACCAGTGTCCAGTTCAACAATTATTCTACAGTCATGTGGCCCAGGATACTTACTTGGATTTATTATACTCAAACTCAATGTGCAGGCAATCCTCAATCCCCACTTCCATCTTGATGGAAGAGTTCAGCTCCGGGTATGTGCTGAGTGTATGAACTACAATGTCCATCTCTTTGACAACATCATTGAGGCGGCGGCTGATGGTGGCTCGAAGGAAATACCTAGAGGAGATGGAACTGTCATGAATGAAATCTCTCCCTTTGCAGATGCTGCCTGGATACACACACCAAACTGGCACACTTGAGAGAAACCCTTATGGTGATTTTTAACCTTCTGGGATTTCATATTCCTTTGAGAATTTGTATCCCTTTGAGAATTTATGGACCCAGAAAAAGTACACATGTGCATCTACATAGAAAATGTTATCACCCATAATTCTAGGGAACGAGAAACTCTCTTATGTTTGGAGCCTATGACCTTGGTTTACAGCAAGCTGTTTGCAGGCCTTTCATGGCCCTTACCACTATCTTCTATTTGTTGTTGTTGTTGTATGTATGCAGGGCCTGGGCACTGTCCCTGAACTTTTGTGCTAAAGGCTAGCACTCTACCACTTGAGCCACAACTCCATTTCTGGCTTTTTGGTGGTTAATTGGAGATAAGAGTCTATAGATTTTCCTGCCTGGGCTGGCTTCAAACCTCAGATCTCAGCCTCCTAAATAGCAAAGATTATAGGTGTAAGCCACTGGTGCCCGTCTTCTTCCATATGTTTTTATGCAAGTTTTCTTTCTTCACTTAACACCTGGACACCTGGCCTTTGGGGCACAGGGATCTGTCTATGATCTTTTTTTTTTTTTTCTTGCCAGATCTAAGGTTTAAACTCAGGCCTTCATGCTCTCAATTGCTTTTTTGCTCAAGGTTAGCATTCTCCTACTTGGGCCATAACTCCATTTTTGGCTTTTTGCTGGTTAATCTATCTTACAGGCTGACTTCAAACTGCAATCCTCAGATCTCAGACTTCTGAGCCAGAATTACAGGCATGCTCCCCCAGCGCTCTGCTGTCCCATACTTGTATATTTGCATTTCTGTTCATCTTACCAATGTTTGATCGATAAACATTTTTCAAGTGGTTTTCATGGTTAAAAGAAAAGGAAGAAGTTAAGTCAGCTATTCATCCAGCAAACTTACTGAGCTAAGCACTGTGTTAGTCATGGGATGAATAAGATAGCTTCATGGGAAGCTCACAGTCCACTGGGAGAGATGGGCAAATAAAAAGAAAAAGTACTCAAGGAAAGTGCTAATTCCAGATGCTACAAATTAGTGCTGTGGAGAGAAGAAAGGGAAGCCCAAGAATCAAGATCGGACCTTCATGTAAAGCAATAGAGGCTGAGTTTGAATAGCAAAGAAGTCTGGTTCAAACTTGGGGATGAGACTGTTTTGTAGGCAAAGGGTTATTAAAAAAAGACCTAAGTCCCTAAAGGTTTAACAGGTCCAGGTTCTGTAGCCAGCTACTTCAACATCACCTGTCACTTGGATATAACACTATGCTAATATCTAAGGGGGTAGAGAACACCCCTTTAATTATAGCTTCTTTTTCTTTCTTTTTTTTTTTTTTTTTTTGTCAGTCATGGGGCTTGAACTCTGGCCTGGGCACTGTCCTTCAGCTCTTCAGCTCAAGGCTAGTGCTCTACCACTTGAGCCACAGTTCCACTTTCAGTTTTCTGGTGGATTATTGGAGATAAGAGTCTCACACACTTTCCTGCCCCAGCTGGCTTTGAATTGCAATGCTCAGATCTCAGTCTCCTGAGTAGCTAGGATTAAGGTGTGAGCCAACAGTGCCTGGCCTAATTATAGCTTCTTTTAAATGGCACTTAGTTAACCTCTATTGCCTATTAAGCATTATTGGAGATCATTATAACCATATGCTCACCACATTAACTACACATTTGTTCTACTGTCTTTCATGTGGCATGTATTGCTTTTTGGCTCATCAACTTCTGTCACATTGCCCAAAGCCTGTTTTTGGAAGATACTGCTTTTTTACTCTACCAGGGAGAGTAAAATTTTCAACTCAAGGTTTGTAACTTTCTCCCTTTTCTTCTTTGTGCTGTTTTTATTTTGCACCTTCATCCATCCACTTTCTTCATCAGCAAACCTCTTCCATCTCAAACAACCACTCTCAGTCAGAAAGAAGGACTGAAAACTCTCCCTGCCCTGGCATATCTGACATTTACTTACACTGCTGAGGGACATAACATTTTAAAAAGCTTCCCAACTGATTCTAATGTGGGAACCTGGGTCCGCCATCTTGATCCTTCTGCTTTTCCAATTTTCTCCAAATATTCAGTTTTACTTTATTCTATTTTTTTTTTTAAAGCTACAGGCTCCTTCCTTTGAGCTTATAAAAAGCCCCAAGTTTACGAATCCTGAAAACCCGCTTGTTTTCTAACCCAGGCTAGTCTCCCAAGTGCTGGGATTACAGGCAGGCCGGTGTTACACTGTTGACCTACCTACCACAGCTTCTCTTTCTTGTCTTCACAGACAGCTGTCATAAGACAGGTCCCGTTCCTGACATCATTTTCTTCACCAACTGCTACTCCCAATCACTTCCATGCAGTAGTTTATGTGACCTTCCAGGTGCCAAAACAGCGCTCCTTTTCTCTGAGTGGTGCAAAAACATTTCCTTCTCCTTAAACTTCCTGAGGGTCTTTAGAGGTGCAGGACCCTAACAGACCCGTTTTTCTTCTTAGCCCCACAGGTCCTGGTTCTTCCCTCCTTACACTGCTTCCTCCTTGGGAATATGAATCAGTCCTTAGTGCCTCCTCCATCCTGTACTCAGAGCCTGGACTGTACTTCTAGGAATCTGGTGAAGATTTACAACTCTCTATATTGTCAGCACTTCAAATTCCTCTCCAGAATCAAACGAATCATCTTATTTGCACATCATTTCTCCCTCCTCATAGTCCTGTCTCTTCCTATGGCTGCAAGCCTCCGCTCAGTAAATTTCACTGTTGTCTATTAAGTAACTCAATTTCTGTCTGTTCTTGTCTCCACCAAAGTACAACTCGTAGCTGCCGATCAGTTCTGTCTCTGAGTTCTTCCCATCAGTCACTTTAATCTTTAAAAGAACCATTCCCCTAAGGTGAAACTAAGATAGTCTAGAAAAAAATTTTGATATTTCTCCTCTGCCTGTATAAGATTACAGTGCTTGATATGGAATTTACATCTTCCTCAGCTAAAACTATCCTAATTTCTCCATTTTTAAAAACCTCCTCTCTTTCTCAACATGAATCCTAAAGTCTTCATCTATTTTGGACATAATGCTTTTTTTGTTTTATTAATTGTAGCAATTTTTGTGCCAGTACTGGGGGGATTTGAACTCAAGGCCTTACATGTTGTATGTTGATGCTATACCTCTATGCCACACTTCTAGCCCTGGGCCAAGTGGCTAAGTTATTTTTATTGTTTAAAGTGAGGTCTCATGCTGGGCGCTGGTGGCTCACATCTGTAATCCTAGCTACTCAGGAAGCTGAGATCTGAGGATCGTGGTGTAAAGCCAGCCTGGGCAGGAGAGTCTGTGAGACTCTTACCTCCAATAAACCACTAGAAAACTGGAAGTGGCACTATGGCTCAAGTGGTAGAGTGCTGGCCTTGAGCTGAAGAGCTGAGGGACAGTGCCCAGGCCCAGAGTTCAAGCCCTATGACTGGAAAAAAATAAATAAAATAAGGTCTCACTTCCTTCCCAGACATGCATTTGAACTGTGATCCACTTTTAAGTTCCCCCGTGTCACAGGGCACATGTACTACAATGTCCACAGAGCACGCTCTACAGGCTCCAGCTTCCCTTCTGTGGACAGGGAGTCTTGAGGACTTTTCTTCCAAGCTGACCTGGCACTACTATCCTCTGAATCTCAGCTTTCTATGTAGTTTGGGATTACAGGTGTATGCTACTGCCCAGCTATGGGTTGAGAAGGAGTTTTGAGAAATTTTCCCAGCCTCTCTAGTAGCTAAGATTAAAATAATGAGCCACCAGTACCCTTCTCTGCAATTACAAACTGTTTTTAAAACAAAGTTTTAGCAAGGGTTTATTTTAATGTAACAGGAGAAGATAAGGAGAAATGGAAAAGAGAGAAACATTTCCTGTTCCCATGCAGGAAATGGGCGTTAAAAACTCCTATGACCTTTTTTATTTTTATTTTTTTTTTGTCGTTTTGTTTGGTGGTGGTATTTTCTATGTTTTTTTGTTTTTTTCTGTTGTGCCCATCCCGGGACTTGAACTCAAGGCCTGGGCACTATCCCTGAGCTTTTTACTCTCAGTTAGTGCTCTATCTCGTGAGTCACAGATCTACTTCCAGCACTTCTTGTTTTTGGTAATTTAGTGGAAATGAGAGTCTCACAAATATTCCTGCCCAGGGTAGCTTCAGTCCACAATCCTCAGATTTCAGCTTCCCTACGTAACTAGGATTATAGACATGAGCCACCAGTGCCCAGCTTTGATGCGTTTTTTTTGTTTTTGTTTTTTTGCTCTGAAGCCCCAGGCTGGACTTAAACCCACTATATAGCCCAGGCTATCCTCAAAGTCAAGATTCTCCTGCCTCAGCTTCCTGAGTGCTAGGATAAACTCTTGACCTCTATTTTAATCCTTTTAAATGCACAGTTCATGGGGCTGGGAAGGTGGCTCAATGGTAGAGTGCTTGCCTTTCATGAATAAGGCCCTGGGTTTGACTCCTCAGCCAGAAGTGGCGCTGTGGCTCAAGTGGTAGAACACTAGGCTTGAGTTGAAGAGCTGAGGGACAGTGCCCAGGTCCAGAGTTCAGGCCCCACAACCAATTAGAAAAACAAACAACACAGTTCATGACATGATATATATTCATACTGTTGTGACATTATTATCACTGTCCATCTCCAGAAATTTCCCATCAATTTTAACTGAAGCCCTTTCTACAATGAGTTCTACCTTTTTCATTTCCCCATCCTCTCAGCCGCTAGCAACACCCACTCTACCTTTTGTGTCTATGAACTTGACTCTACTTGGTACTTCAAGTAAAGGAAATTAATTAGTATTTGCCCTTTTGTGACTGGCTTAAGGTTCATTCACATTTGAGCATGACAGAATTTTCTTACTTTAAAGGCTGTGTAGTAATCCATTATACATACATACTGCATTTGTTTATCTACTCATTTACTGATGGAAACCTAAGTTGATTTTACCTCTCAGTTATTATGAATAAATACTGCTATGAACATGTATGTACAAACACTTGCTCTAGACTAGTGTTCTTACCTTTTAGATAAATAATAGTGAGTTTATGTTTCATTTTATGTATGTGGCGGTATGTGTGTATATCAGTGTGTTTGTATATGTGTGTTACAATATGCTCTACCATTGAACTACACACCTAGCCCCATATTTAATTTTTCGAGAAACCCCATGTCTTAAACAACTTTCCTCTCTGACATAAAAATATGAACACAAATTCACTGGGAAAAAATTGCTGGGCATGATGGCAATTCAAGAGGCTGGGAAGACTACCTGTGCTACACAGATAGACCCTGTCATTAAAAAATAAAGTTTTATAACCAAGCTTAAGTGATATGATAATCCTCATTTATCTGTCTTTTTTGAGTGATAGGATAAGACTTCCTGTCTCTAGTGGGGATAACAGCAGTACTTAGGCCACTCTGTAAAGACATAAGAAGAAAAGTCTACGGATACATTTTTTTTTTTTTTTGGGGTCCGGTTGTGGGGCCTGAACTCTGGGCCTGGGCGCTGTCCTTCAGCTCTTCAGCTCAAAGCTAGCACTCTACCACTTGAGCCACAGCGCCACTTCCGGCTTTTTTCTTTTTTCTTATGTGGTGCTGAGGAATCGAACCCAGGGCCTCGAGCATGCAAGGCAAGTGCTCCACCACTGAGCCACCTTCCCAGCCCCGGATACATTTCTGATGGGAGGGAAGAAGCCAGGGGAGTGCAGGGGTTTATTGGTCTTGATAGACTCTAAACCCATCTAAGTCCAGACTTGACATGATAAAAAGCTGGTCTTTTGAGATAGTATCAAGACCAAGGATCAGGTATTCAGTGACAATGGAGTCTGCTTTATCCCATCACATAATCTCAAGGTTAAATCTAAACAGCTATAGTTGCTGTGTGTGTGTGTGTGTGTGTGTGTGTGTGTGTGTGTGTGTGTGTTTGTGTTTGTGTGTGTGTGGTGTATACTTCATCTAGCATCAGTGTGTATTATGTATTTTATTGCTCCAAAACTGGAGCAAGAAAAATATTTCCATGTACTTATAATTTTTTTTCAGTGCTGAGGCTTGAACCCAGAGCCTTGCACATGCTATGAAAATGATCTATCACTGAGTTACATTTCAGCCCTATGTTCTTTAGTTTTTAAAGACACTATGTGACATCTTTTTGTTATTATTATCCTCCTCCCACCTCCAGAAAGATGGACAGATCTAGAATCAGCATCCAAATCTATATCACCTATTTTTCAGGTAAGAAAGGTGAGTTATGGACTTTAAGGTCACATTGCTGTTGTAGAGCAGAGCTACGCAGAAGTTGGCATCTCTAGACACCCAGCCAAGGGGTCAGCTGAGTTACAAAAAAAAATGCCAACTGCTGAATCTCTGAGAATTTTAACTACTGGTTTTTAAACATAGCTAGCTATTATTTAAAGGGAAATTACATAAACTTACAACTAAGTTATCTATATTAAAAAACAAGAGTAATATATGCTAAAAACACATGTCTCCCTACCTCTGCATCCTGGGATGGCAGGAGGGCAACTGGAAACTGGCCACCATAGAGACACCTAAGCTACTGAGATGGACAGATGCTTTCCTCCCAGAGAATTCATGTTGAACCTGTGCACCATCACACCATGGATTGCCTCACTTCCCTCTTGATATCAGGCAAAGGCCCTCAGAAACAGAAACAGCTTCACGGTCTACTCACCTGGGACAGATTCTGGAGCACAATGGGGAAGTAGCAGGGACGACTTACCGTAGCTTCACATTCTGCCCGGTGTAGGATTCATAAGGCTTCTCCACATGGGTGAACTCAAAGTCGAAGGCCTGTGACTGGGTGATCTCACCAGGCCGAGCCAAGTCCTTCACCAGGGATACAAACTCATGGTGGTTCCCCCGATCATAGTAGAGTTCTGGTGAGAGAGGGAGATGGACAGGGAAGTTTCCTCTATTAGACCCAGGCCACGTGGAGACTGGTGAGGATGCTCCAGGCTAGAGGCACCACTCTCCTGACGGACCCTCCACAATCAACCCCCTTTTGCCTTAGTTTTGGATTCTTTCCCTGACTTCTGCCCTTCACCATATTCACTGGTATCCCTGTTTCCAAAGAGTTCTCCACTTTTTTGGTTGTTTGAGAAGCAATCTGTCTATGTTCTGGACTAACCTTGAACTCCTGGGCTCAGCTGATCCTCCTGCCTCAATCTCACAAATATCTAGGTCTATAGGTATGCAACACCATGCTTGGCTGTCTCCTGCATCTTATGAGGTCCCATAGTTCATAGAGAACCCAATATAACCCTGTTCCAAAACACTGCCATCATTAGCAATCCAGTTACTGTGCAGCCCAATGAAAGTATAGGGATAGAGTAGAAACTGGGACTCAGGCATGGCTCAAGTGGTAGAGTGCCAGCCCTAAGCAAAAAAGCCAACCAAGAACTTGAGGCCTTAAGTTGAAGCCTAGTGACCAACCCAACAAACAAACAACCCCAAGCAAAACCTTTTAACATTTCTAACTTCTGAAAAAATATGCATAGTTATTTATTCATATCAACCCCCTTAGAATAATCTTGCAAGATTGTTAAGGTTGAATCTTATCACTTACTTAACAGTGATGGAACCTGAGGTGTAGCATGGAGGGCTTCTTCCTATACTGTCTCTATGTCTGGGACATGCTATTAATGGGAAAAATAACACAACCTGCTTCATATGGTTTTCTTTTCAGTAGCAGAGTTTTCAACTCAGGGCATTGTTCTTGCTTGCTTGGTGATGTACCATTTGAGCCACATCCCCAGCCAAGCTTTTGCTGGTTATTTTGGAGATGGAACTTGGTGAACTTTTCTGCTCAGCTCGGCTTTGAATATCAGTCATCTAGGTTTCTGTCTCCTGAGTAGGTAGGATTACAGTGATGAACCATGAGCACCTGGCTTCATAAGGTTTTATGAGAAGTAAAAGAGTTAATTTTGGGAAAGGATTTAAAATAGTATACTCAATAAACAGGGCTACTAACTGCTCCCATGGCTCAGAAGGCCTTCTCCAACTTCTACATGCTTCACAATTCTCTACAGGCTGGCTGGAACTCAGATTGCTTGGAGGTCTCACAAGCTCTAGGGGTGCTAGTACCATACTTTGAGATACATGGCTCCCAGTTCATCCCCTTCAAGGAACATTTCTGTTGTTTTATGTTAAGTTCAGTTCACTATTGGTCCCATGTTACTTTATGTGTGTCTATATTTTGTATATGAGATCTTTCTTTTCCGCTTTAGACCAAAGGCCTTTTAAAAATGATGCCCATGGGAAAATTGGATATCCACATACAGAAAACAAACTGGATCCTTATCTGTCACCCTGTACTCATATCAATTCAAAATGGATCAAATACCTCAATGTAAGACTTGAAACGATGAAAACTATTTCAGCAAGGAGTAGGAGAAACATTAGAACTTCTTGATACAGGCAGGAACTTTCTGAGTGAAGTTTTAGGGGCTCAGCAAATCAAAGAAAGAATCAACAAACAGGATTGAATCAGACTAAGAAGTTTCTGCATGGCAAAGAAAATAGTTAACAAGCTAAAAAAGACAGCCTACAGAATAGGAGATCTTTGCCAGCTATGTCGCACAATCCCCTAATATCCAGAATATACAAAGATCTCAAGAAACTTAACCCTCCAAGAATCAACAACACAGTTAATAAGTGGGCAACTGAGTTAAATAATGACTTCTCAGAAGAAGTAAATATGGCCAATAGGCACATGAAGAAATCCTCAACATCTCTCACCAAAAGGAAATGCATATCAAAACAACATTGAGATTCTATCTCACAGAACAGCCATCATCAAGAATATAAACAATAACAGATGCTGGCACAGATGTGGGGAGGAAGGAACTCTAATGCACTGTTTGTGGGGATGTAAACTTGTTCAACTATTCTGGAATGCAGTTTGAAAATTCCTCAAAAAATGAAACACAGAACTATCATATGATCCAGCAATTCTACTTCTGGGTATTTATCAGAAAGATTACAAACTAGACACAGTAAAGCCACTTGCACAACCATGTTCATTGCAGCATTACAAATAGTCAATATGGTATGAAAACAGCCCAGATGCCCCTCCATGGACGAATGGACCAAGAAAATGTGATATATATACACAATAGAATTTTACTCATCCATTAGGAAGAATGGTATTACATCATTTGCAAGGAAATAAATGGACATGGGAAAATATAATGTTAAATGAAGCCAGGTCCCAGATAGACAAAGGATGCATGTTTTCTCTTATATGTGGAAGCTAGAACTAATTTATAAATGTATAAGTAAACACAAATGGGTTGTATGCAAGTGTACACCAAAGTATTAATCAAAGTATGGTGTTTGCAGGGAGAATTCAAACAGTGAAATTCCTTAGAGCATCTTATAGCCCAACAATGCCAGAAATCTGGCACTTGGAAGAGGAAAAGGTGGAGGAGAGAAGCAATGGGAGTGGGGTTGACAAATGAAGAGAGGAAAGAGGAGAATGCAGTCATAATATTCAATTCATATCCTATGAAATTAAGAAAATTGGGATGGGAGAGAGAGGGGAAAATGATGACATTGGTCAAGATGCATTGTACTTATAAGCTGATTTGTTGACTAGTAACTCCCTTGTACAACTAATTAAAGATAATTTTTTTTTTAAAAAAGAAGTTCATATCCCTAGCTTCCCAACCCCTACTAAGACCCGGCCCTGCAGAGGTGAATATTGAATTCTGACCATAATTACACATGGCCACACCCCAGGTGTTCCTGGGGTCCAGCTCTGTTGGCTGCAACCAAAAGTGGGGAGATAAATTAGGAGATGAAGCAGGAAAGGATACTTGCTGCTTTGGCAGTTTGCTGCTTGGGAGAAAGAGAGGTCCACAGAGAGCAGTCTCTGGGACAACCACACATTGGGCCTCTCTCTCTCTCTCTCTCTCTCTCTCTCTCTCTCTCTCTGGGGTGATCTGACATCAAGAGGAGAGCTGCTTTTGCTCTAGGACCAGCTCAGGAAGCACAGATCTAAGTCTTGATTAGGAATGAAGCATTCTTAGCCCTCCCCCCAAACCAGATCTCTTGCCTCCCCAGGGCCAAAAAGTTGTGTTCAACCCTGCCTCAAGGGGGAAGAACCAGGCCCAGAAAAAACAAAACTGGATTTGGCTGGTACTTTTCACCCTGAGTGCAACATTTCCCTCATTGCTGGTCCAGGAGCTTCCTCTGACATACCAATTCCATAGAGACTGTTCTTTTACTGGGTGGGTTTGTGGGGTCATTTCTTAGCAGAGCCGGTTCTGCCATAAGATTTATCCAACTTGTAGATTAGAACAAATCATGTTAAGTGAGGTAAGCCATGCTCAGAAAGACAAAATGCACATGTTTTCTCTCATAGGGGGAAGCCAGATTTAAAATACAACTGCACATGAGAACTTATACAGGACTTCATTCATTTACACAAACAGACTAAAGGAGGGTATAGTTAGTGGAGGAACCCAAAGGTGTAACTCCTCTGAATATCTAAGGTACTATTTATCAAGTGAATTCCAAACATCTTTCCCCCTCCTCCCCTGGTAGGGGAAGGGCACAGGAATGGATGGAGGAAAGGTGAGCAAATGCAGTCACTGTATTCAATAGACATTATGTAAAAAATGAACTATTCAACTCTTGGGTATGGATAAACGAAGGAAGGAAGGAATGTCCAAGAAACATTGCACCCATTATGGAATTGCAAAGCCTTTGCATAACTCAATAATAATAATTATAATAATAATGAAGAAGAAGAAGACAGGAGGGGGAGGAAGAGGAGGAGGAGAAAGAGGAGGAGGAGGAGAAGAAAAGAAGAAGAAAAGAAGAAGAAGAAGAAGAAGAAGAAGAAGAAGGAGAAGGAGGAGGAGAAGAAGAAGAGGATGAGGAGGAGGATGAGGAGGAGGAGGAGGAGGAGGAGGAGGAAGAGGAAGAAGAATATACATCCAGCTTGGGCTGCAGGTGTAGCTCACTACATTGCCTAATACAATGCACTTGCTTAGCATGTATGAGGAGTGCCTGAGTGTAATCCTAGCACTGCAACAAATAAACAAAACCAGATTTATCCACCTTGGTAAGGTGGCAATAATGTGACGGTCCCACATTAGTGATGCTCGTCCCATGTGAATTTACAGTGTATTCTGTGGTTACTATGTACGTTGGATCAATATTGTACTGCAAACAACCATCTTCTCTTCCAAACATTAAATGATTTCTGCAGTGGGCAGCTTTCTGGGTAGTGATAATCCACAAAAATGTGCTAAAGGGAGATGACAGCTCCAAACTATGTGGGGGGAAAGCGAGCAGTCCAGTAATGTGTTGCCAGTGAAAGCAAGGAGCTGGCCAAGTGCCGCAGCTCTTGCTTAGGAGCTTCTTGGAAGACAGATATTGAGAGGATTTCAGTTCATGAGAGGCCCAGGCAAGAAGTTCATGAAACTTTATCTAAACCAATAAAAAAAAAATCTGGCTGGGGGGTGGGGGTCGTGCCTGTCAACCCAGCTATCCAGGTTAGTTTGGATGTCAAATCCTATTAGAAAAATAATGAAAGCAAGAATGGTTAGGGGCATGGCTCAAGTGGTAGAGCGCTTGTGTAGCAAGCTCAAGACTGAGTCCAGTGCCTAGTACTGCCCACCCCCCAAAAAGCAAAACATTGCAGGAACAGGTAGAAACAGGGCCTTGATCAGCTCCAGCAACCAGGACTCCTCTAAGCACTCTTGCTTCCTGGGCCCTGGTTGATTGTGATGACTCCTTAACTTGGGAACCTGGTAACTTAGTTCCCAAACACTAGATTCTGGCCCTAGTTCCAGGGTACAGAAGCCCAGAGAGAAAAGGCCTCAATGTGCATGAGCTTTAAGTGGGAAATCCCAGAGTTCAGAGGAAG